TGAAACACTCCAGCTTTTCATAGGAAGGAAGGCCCGTTCACCGGATTAATAGATGTGTGATCAGTAATCAGGCAGGCCAGAAAGTATTCAGCTAATCACTGCAGTGAATTAGCAGGAAACTCTGTCCTTTTTCTTTCCTTCAGCATTCAGTCGACTTGATAGATTCTTTTCTTGTCAGAGGTTGGCACGCTCCCCGGTTAGAGTGCCCGGCCTGCCTCTCTGTGTCGTCTTTCATTTCCTTTTCACCCCCAGGTCTTTCTGTACCTGTCAATTTCTTTCTACAGTGTGACTCCTTAATCCACCTGAGTGCATAGAGGACAGTTTTGACATAAGAAGAAAAGATAGACTCCTAAGGAGAGGACCAGTATCTTTGGAGCCCGGGGGATAACCGGATTACGACAGCCATTTTGTGCTGCTGGCAGTTTTTCTTATTACCCATTTTTCCCCCCTCATCTCTGCAGAGTTGAAACGCTGCCCTTTCTTGGAAGTCACTCCAAACACTGACGAGTACACAAAACCCAACACATGTTTGTTTTTCTCTCTCCTCCAACTAAAACAACTGCAAGATTTGTGCAGGATTGAAAACATATATATATATATATATATAAATGCATCCATCTCCACACTGCCCTTCTCTGCCTCACGTGTTGTTGTCCGCAGAGAGTTTTCACTTCTTTGTCTGGAACTCGCGGTCCCTCTGTGGATGTAATAATTGCCTCTGTGTGGCGGTGGGTTCCTCCTGTGAGCGAGGCCGGCCTGAACCTACAGCACAGCAGATAACAGCACCGCCACGAGGAGGCAGATCAGCTGTCTGACCCCTGCTGCCGCTCACTTTATCCCTCCAGCCCGTCTGGCTGCGAGGAAACCCAGAGGAGGAAAAAAAAAAACAACCCTCTGAAAACGTCTTATCATCTCCACCACTGATGCATTGTGCACCGCTGGATCTTTTATGTCCGTTTATTTCGCCTTTGAAGAGGCCCGCCGTGCCTTTGATTGTGGGAGGTAAATGAAATAAAGGCCCCCCTTCTCGCCGGTACGCTGATATCCGAGTTTATCAACCAGAAAAACCTAAACCCCGAGCTCGGACCGCCGCGGGCCCGTCTGCAGACGAACACGTCATGCTTCTGTCATGGAAATAATCCCTTTTGCGGAGGCCATTTCTGATGCCTTTGAGGCGCCCTGGAAGCTTCCACTTAGACACCCAGAAATGAAACTCCTCTTTGTGAAGTAATCCCGTGTTTCTCACCTACATCTTCTTCTACATATAGCCTAGTTACTGCTCCACCAAAGCAGATGTTTGATCAGACCGGAGACACTTGTCCACGTATTTATATGTAATAAACCTGCATTGCATCACTGAAAGGAATTTAAATGAGTTAGTTTTGAAGACAGGTTTTTAAATAAGTACAAACTGAGGCTGATTTTGCCATAAGGGTGAACCTGCAGCCGTTTTTTATAAGTTTTGTTTAATGCGGGACCACTTTCAGAGTCATGTGGTCTGTGTTTGAGGAGAATCTTTAGCAACTTTTGTACTAATTTGACTATTTTTACACCATTTCTGCACCTTTTTATTACCTGCACACCTTATTTTTATTACATTATTCCTCATTATTCCTTAAAAATATTAATGTGTTAAAAAATATGAAACCTCATAAAATGCATCCCTCCTCAACAAAACTTTTAGAAAATCTAATCAAGTGGCAAACTGAGAAAATCCATCCTAATTTGGAGACTTTCTTCTCAGGACTGGAGGTGAGGGGCCACATTAGCTTCCTGTGAGGATCCCCTGAAATTCATTTTGGAGCAAATGAGGCGTAAAGGGTCATGCAGTGCAAAATAACATCCAAAACTCTTATGGGGAAGCTTTTAGTTTCTAGTTTTCTGCTTGTGTTGTGCAGCAGATTAGCTTCCTCCCCTGCCCACATGCCTGCGCTTGTCTCAGCGGAGATTTGGAGAGACTAAACCCCGCTGCAGAGGCAGGAGAGGGGTGTCCCTCAGAAATGTTGTAGGCCTACAGTTACTTTTTGTGAAGGGATTACAGAGCTCTCTCTCTTTCCCATTGGCTTGGCCCGCCGTGACAGTGGTGTGGTGATGAGTGGATGACATGCCCAGCATCATCCATAACAAGCTTCCCACTTTGGTCCCGTGTGACTCCCCATTCATGCGCCCGGGCTTTGGCTTTATGTAGTTTTCAGTTCCACTTTGTGCAAATGCTTTGCTCCATTTGGACTCACGGTCTTGTTTCTTCTTAACAAAGACACTGGAAGAATTGATTTTTTTTTTTTTAAACTCCATCCATCCTGCAGACTTGTTTTCCTCTTTACGCACCAGACGAGCATGAGCTTTTTGGAGCGGTGACTTACTTGTGTCAGTTCCTGAAATGGCAAAACCTTTAGATCACATCAAGAGACCCATGAACGCCTTCATGGTTTGGTCCAGAGGCCAGAGGAGGAAGATGGCCAGAGAGAACCCCAAGATGCACAACTCTGAGATCAGCAAGAGGCTCGGCGCGGAGTGGAAGATGCTCTCGGACTCTGAGAAGCGGCCGTACATCGACGAGGCCAAGAGGCTGCGGGCTCAGCACATGAAGGAGCACCCGGACTACAAGTACAGACCCCGGCGCAAACCCAAGAGCCTCCTCAAGAGGGACCGCTTCGTTTTCCCGCTGCCCTCCTTACTCGGGGACGCGGCGGAGCACTTGAAGGGATTTTCTATCGACTCTTTTCTCGTCCCGGGGGATAAAGCCAGAGCTCTCCTCGCTCCCGCCTCCTCCTCCTCCTCTTCCTCCTCCTCCACGTCGTCATTCTCGCTCCTGGAGCCGGTGGCGCAGTTCAGCACCGGCGCTGTCCAGCGGATGGCGGAGATCCCGCACGCCCTGGCCGCCGGCGCTCTGCCCTACAGCGCGCACACCTTTGGATACCAGACTGGAGGCTTTGGGGCTCTGGCGTGCCCGGGACAGCACACCCACACCCACCCGTCGCCCTCCAGCCCCGGGTACGTGGTGCCGTGTAACTGTAGCGCCTGGTCCGCGGCCAGTTTGCAGCCCCAGGTGGCTTATATTCTGTTCCCCGGAGGGATGGCGAAGAGCGGCATGGACGCGTACGCTTCAGCCGGCTCCGGCGTGTGATGGAGCGGACGGACGCACGATGGGGGGGAAGTTTGCGCACAAGAACCTCCACCTGTTTTCAGCTTTAACAACAAAACTGTGACATGATAGTGTTTCTGCAGATATTAAACACGTTAAAAAGGCACCCTGACACGTTGCTCCTTATTCCATGTACATACAGAGAGAGGACTGGGCTCCATGTGGAGATGCTATTTTACTACTTTTTTGCAAGAAAAACAGCTCAAACTATTTAATGAAACACACTTTTAATGCTTAATGTTTAAATTACTGTCTTATAAAACACACAAGCTGCTGAAGAAGCTTTCTGACCAAAAAAAAGTCTAATTTGGCATTTTTTCTGTCATTTTTGGGCCCTAGCAGATGTTCGGTGTCAGTGTGTCGGCCTGCTTTCTTTTCATTTTCAAGTGGGGAAAAAATAAATCTTTACAGAAGGAGTGTTTTATAATTGTAGTATTTTTGTTCTTTGAAGCAGCTGATTGAAAACTCTTGCATAAAGTAAGTGTTAACGTTTTACATGGCAGAGGTTTTTTTTTTGTTTTTTTTTAATTTAAAGTCGGTGTTTGTGATGATCCAGATCACTTTTTATTTTATCTGGCGTTTTTATGCCAAAGCAGCACATCTGAACGCTCTCATTTAACCTTATTCAGGACTTTTGGGGTCTTTTGGACCCTTTTTAAATATAAAAAGAGGGACATTTGTCGTGCATTCAACTTATCAGCAAATATATTTAACACAGTATAAAAGTCTAGAATGAATACCAACACATGTTTTGCACATATTCTTTCTACGTATGGAAACATGAAAGTCCTGAATAGGGTTAAACAAGCTGACTTTTAACATCTCGATAAAAGCGTACATAAAACACAAACAGATGCTAATATTTCACGGGGACTCAAACACAAGAGGGACATTTTCTGGTCCGGCTCTGCTGCATGAGTAGAGTCGTGCGAGTCCGTGAGCTGAAGTGACGATAAGAGAATAATAGAAACTTATCTCCTCCTCAGGCGTTGACACAGTGATAAGGTGAAAAGTTGAAATGTTTGTTCCACCGTTGACGTTCACACTGAAACCAGAGAGCTTTAGTCTCGACGTGCAACGGCTCGTAGTCGTTTCAGATCTATGAAATGTAAATATGCGTTTGCTGAGTAGCAGAAATGCAGCAAACGATCCTGACTGTTGAATCCCTGCAGCTCTGGAGGAGAACAGATCAACTTGATGAAGTGTTCTTTAGCCAGATATCAGATCTTCACCAGGTTCAGCTCCAGTGTGGCTCCTCCTGACCTTTGACCTCCCCGTTTAGACCACTGCTGTGGCTTGTGCCATCCCACTGTAAAGTATATTCTGCTCAGAATCTAGACTCAACCTTCGTCTGATGCATCTTTCTGTCTTTGCTTCCTTTCTGGCGGTGCGTCATGTGAGACCTAACACACTCACTTCTGTCTCGCCTGGGTGTGTGTTTGTTGTTTTCGCGACGCTGTGTCGTGTTTTAGTTTCAGACACTTGACTGTATGGTCTGCACACTTTAGAGGCACTGATTCAGTTTCCTGTATTTACATTCAGGCGTTCATGTCGGTGCCAGGTGTGCCCTGTCACCGCTGTGTCCACACCTCTCAGCACCACGTCGCCCAGCCCACGCTGCTGCATCACCCACTGGGTGAAACCGGGCCGCCTCCGCCCAACACCGCCATCATCAGAGCGCCGCTTCGCCCATTTTCATTCTCTCCTGACACCTGCTCACCTGTAGCACCCTAACTTTACGCTCACCTGTACATGCAGCTGCACTTTAAGTAGAACCCGTTTATCTATTCAAACCTCTCCGCGCAGACACGCTAACTTCTCCTCCCGGGTAGATTTTCTAACTGCCAAAACGACGATGGCGCCCGGGATTTTACAGAATGGCGGATTCGTTCTGGGGCTGATCGGCGCCGCGGCCCTCATCGCAGCCACCGCCATGAACAAGTGGAGCGTGAAGGACCGGCAGGGGGATGTGGTGACATCCGTTTACACCTACAAGGGTCTGTGGCAGGACTGTGAGACAACATCGTCCGGATTCACAGAGTGTCGCCCGATGTACGGCCTCCTGGGATACTCAGGTAGGACGAGACCCTCACCGGTCTTCACCGGTCTTCACCTCAGAGTTTATCCAGTGACTGAAAATGAGCTTGAATTAATTGCCGTCCTAATAACTGAACAGATTGTGTCCTGAATCGGCCTCCCTAATGGTGAGCTGCTTTTTCTTAGTGAGGACATTAAACCAGTCTGAGCTCTCCTGTTGTTATACTTGAAAGAGATGTTAAAAGTTTCCTCTGTTTGTACAACGAGGCAGCAGGAAGCCAAATGTAGCACCGGGTCAGGACGAATAGAAAAGAGAGACTAACAAGGAAGGAAGCTGTTTCAGGTGCAGAGGTGGGATTTACTGAGTGCACAGTGAAATGTAAAACCAACACAAAAACCTCAAATCGTATTAGTTTGCATCGCTTTCATGCTGAATGTTTAGGAGGAAAAAAAACAGACTCATCTCACCTCCTGAAACCTTATTCTAAAAATCAAACACTTCCAAAATATATGTATTAATTCACCACCAAGCATTTTATGTTTTCACTGAAGTTCTGGAGAAAAACAACAAAAAGCCATATTGTCAGGTTGTGTGAAAATGTTTATTTTCCGATTAAAGATAATTAACGTGGAAATTATGAAGAAAAATATGGGAGAAAAAATCTCACTAATTAGTGTAAGTGATAATTATCCAAACACACGATGTCATAATTTCTACACCTGTTGTTCTCTCTCTGGTGTCCAGTCCACACCTGCCAGTGTTTGCATTAGCACCGGTGCATTGTGGTTGCTTTAACGGCCGACTGGCCGGTCAACAGAGTTATCAGCAATAAAACAAACAAGCAAAGGGCAGTTTCCCTCAGCGCGCCTGCTGTAACAGGGAGTCTGACACCTAAAAGCACAACACAAAGGCCTTTCTCTACTCCTGCACGTCTTTCTGTCCACCAGGAACCTTCCAGGCCGTGCGAGCCCTGATGATCGTGGGTGTGGTGCTCAGCGTGCTCGGGGCGCTCATCTCGGTCTTCTCCCTGACCTGCCTCACCATGAACAACATGGCCGACACCACCAAGGCCAAGATGAGCCTCACCGCCGGCATCATGTTCATCGTCGCTGGTACGAAGCAGAACACTGAGACCGATCTGAATGTTATCGTGTCTATTAGAAGTGTGATTTTTTGTTTTTTTTGCTGGGGTGGAGGGTTTTTGGAAGCGAGGCGTGACAGATCAGCTTAGAGATCCAGAAGACATGATTTAACTGTGTGAGTTAGTGAAACCCAACATGTTAACCAGTGGTACTAGTACGTGGGTAAGTATTTGCAGGGAATATTTCTATAATATTGTACTTTTGCATGTGTTTTTAACTTTGCAAATTTAGTTCAACAAAACAAAATAAAATCAAGAAATAAATTGTGATCTAGTGTTATAGATTAGGATTCAACTTTACTGGGAAATTCACAAGTCAGCCAGCAGATAAAAAGCAATTAAATGGACACAGCGATGCATCAGTAATTATAATCCAGTCGTATACGTTGATCTGAAATATACATTTTTGCATAATGAGGACTACTTTAAATATATGACTTTTCGAGTATTTCTATGATTTCTGTGATATTGCTATTTAATTAGACTCAAATGAAATCTCCGTACTTCCTCCAACTCTGATTTGTACCACTGTGAGTTGCTTTGTGAATGATTTTAACCTGAAACACACAGGGTTCCTATCGTGGGCTGCTTTAGTTTTTATTTACTTTGGCCGATTTGTTCTTTAGGTTAAGCAGCAGTTTCTCTGTGAAGTGATGGAATCTGTATCTTTTCCCTCTCCTCTCAGGTCTTTGTGGTATTTCAGGAGCTTCTGTCTACGCCAATCAGATCGTGGCCAGTTTCAGGGTGTCCACCTACCCCAACTACGGAGGAGGATACGGGAACGGGGTGGTGGGGGATGGGATGGGTGGAGCGATAGGAGGTGGTATGGGATTAGTGCCCACGTACGACATCATTATTATTACTATTATTATTATTATTATTATTATTATTATTATTATTCTACCATCACATTCTCTCTGTTATTCCCACGTTGGGCCGACACGGCGTCTCGTTTGTCTCTACCAGATACACGTTCGGCCCGGCTCTGTTCATTGCCTGGATCGGAGGCGGCATCCTGCTTGTCGGTGGCCTCCTGAAGTCTCTGGCTTTCAGAGAAATGGTGAAGGATGAAAAGCCGCGGTGAGTCCCTTCATAGGTTCACAGCAAAAGATGAAAATGCACCGAAACATCTTAAAATAACGCGTCTACGAGTCCACTTTTTACCTACAAATTAAAACAAGACATGTTTTACATGTACATAATCACAATATATGATTTTTTCCCCCCTCTATGTTCTTACTCTCCAGCTACCCCGGGGTTGTTTACAAGCCTCAGTCGCACAACAAGGCTGAGCTGATGGATCAGCATTCAGAGGGAGGCCACAGAGAGCAGAAATATGTGTGACTTCAGCCACAGTTTGTCGCTTTAAACACCCAGCATGCTTTGTAATGTTTGTGTTTTTTCAGTTGCCTCACATTCAGTTATTATCTGATAAAAGAAGCCGGTGGCAGCAGGTAGAGGAAGGAGTAGGTTTCCCATCCCAGTGGCTCGGCTGCTGTATGTAATTGATTTTTATAATTTGAGTTCTGTTAAATCAACTTTTTTTTGTTTGAGAATAAAACACTGATTTCTGAAATACTTGTGCCAGGTGGTGTGTTTTTACTGATGACATATGAGAACACATGTAAAGGGGCTGATGTATGAATAAAAGGACAGACGGATTCATATATCAGCGGTTTAAGAGCAAACATGTCACTGTCCTGGGAGTTGATGGACCTCTAGGGTGCAGGAATGCTAACACAGGTAAAAACAGAGCTACTCGAAGTCGGAATAAAAAATGTGACAGAACAATATAACCGTCTAACAAAGGTCTGTGCCAGTACACGCCGAAATAAATATGAATTCTGTTATTCAGATCACTGATTAAGAGACAAATGTTAAGTCGTAAAATATGTTTATTTTTTTAACTGAATGGGGAGTTAATATTTTATGTACTAGTGTGATGACCCCTGAGGTCATCTTGTGTCTTGTGGGTGGTTCTAGTTCGGCTATTGGTTCTGTGAGTGGCTGTTTAGGGTAATCAGGAGCACCTGTGACACTCAGTGTGTTCCTGGGTTACTTAAGGGCTGACTGCAGTCTAATCTCTCTCTACTCTGCTTCCCTCCGCAGGTATTGCATCGGTCTGGTTATGGGTTAGTTTTCTTTGTTTAGGACGTTTGCATTTACAACACTTGCACAGACATAATTCACGCACACACACCACTGACTTCATGTATTCTCACAACCCCATATTGGTTTGGTTTTTATTTTGATATAATTTAAGGGAATAAAGATAAGCTTTAATTTTGAAACTTGGTGTGTCTCTCCTTTTGTTGCGGCCGTCTTGAGCCCGGTCGTAACACTAGTAGTTGAGAAATGGTCTCAAAGTCCAATACTGTTGTTTCTCTAAAATGAACCTCCTTAAATACTGTCACATGTTCCATCCATCCATCCATCATCTCTACACCTTAATCCTCACTAGGGTCATGGGGGGCTGGAGTCTATCCCAGCTGACTCAGGGTGAAGGCAGGTTCACCTGGACAGGTAACCAGTCTATCACAGGGCTACACTTAGAGACAGACAACCAAGCACACTCACATTCACACCTACAGACAATTTAGAATCACCAATTAACCTCAGCATGTTTGTGGACTGTGGGAGGAAGCCAGAGAACCCAGAGAGAACCCACGCTGCACGGGGAGAACATGGAGACTCCACGCAGAAAGAACCTGGGTGTCCTCACCGGGACGCCAACCGGCAACCTTCTAGCTGCGAGGCGCTAACGGTGCTACCCATTAGAATGCACTGAATGTGTTTTATAGACTTGCAGATAGAGGCTCTGCTGACACACGACTGAGCTGCAAAGCCATTACAGACCACTAGATGCCAGCAAAGTCACATCTTTGCTTTTAAAATCAGCATTCGGCTCCTTTTCTTGAGTAAAAGCTCACTGCAGCAGCAACGAAAAGATGTTAAAACAAGTAAAAAACCCAGACTTAAAGTAAAAGTACACATGTAGTAGCAGCCCAGTGTTGTTGAAGTATCAGAGAACTTGTTTGGTGCCTCTGACTGATATATTTATAAGTATGACATCATTAGATTACTAATAGTGAAGCAGGTGACTGACGTAGCTGCTGGAGGTCTGAACTACTTCATGAACACTTTTATTTATAGCATTTACACCGATAACACTGAAGGGTCATCGTCTGATAAATGAAAAAGGAAAGAAATTTTTTTGTCAAATGTTAAAATTAAAATGTGACCTGATTGTTTTAGAAACCAACAGCTTAATATTCATCGATGTGTTGTGTTTCTATAACATCCATTGTGTAAAATCTTCATCTTAAAAGAAACAAAAACTGTTAAATAAATGTAGTGGAGCAGAAAGCACATCATCTCCATCTGAGAGGCGGTGAGGTGGAAATAGTTTGCACAAAATCGAAGCAACAGAACTTAAATGCGCTCATCCTGTCGGTTCAAGAGGAACACGTGGACAATAAAACGACACCACGGAGAGAAAAACTACCAGAGACTTTGTTTATTGTTGCATATTTAAACCGTCACCTCACCTGCTGAAAAACACTCCTCCAAAACAAATCTAGTTTGTCCTCGAAGCAGAAGATGCAGGAGACAAAAGAAACCACGTTTCACATCAGACCTCACATCCCAGCACTGGTTTACTGTGAGGTCTTCACCAAAGTGTCTGTCGGCGAAGACGTCTGCGTTCGAGGACAAACTAGGATCCATTCGCTCCGACTACAAATCCCATCGGTCACAATGTTCAGCATCATAAAAAAATAATTATACAAGAATATCAGACAGACAGACAGCGAGGAGGGGAAACGGAAACTCCCACAGATAGACGATAAAACAGGTCATGATGTGCAAGACTGCTCTTCAGACTGGATGCATCCGTTGCGAGCCGTGATGTAGAACTGATGAGTTTGTTGGGCCCCTCTGGGCTCTGCCATTATGGTTTTTATGTTTTTTGGTAAAATCCTGACAAGAAATTCATGATTTTCAGATACAAAAACAGTCCTATAGAGCAGTGATTTAGCAACCAGCTGTCAAGGTCCAGTTGTGTACAAACTGGTAGACGTCAGTTCACACAAACTACAAAAAAACAACAACAACACAAGTTTGCTTACTCTGAACCAGCCATGTGGGTAGTTTTCGATTCAAGTTTTAGAAGATCTGTTTGGTGATTTCTGCCAAATGAGCTCAATAAAATGTAGATAATTAGTTTTTTTAAATATTGAAAAGCTGCGTTTCCATCGACAGATCTTTCAGGGAACATTGTGCTTGTTGTTCGGTTTTCATGTGGACGGTTTTGTTAGTAGAGAGCAGTTCTGGTGAATAAACTTGTTAACCTGCAGCAGCCGGCTTAGGAACAGACAAGTTGCTGATAAATCTGAACACGTCAGTGCAGTGAGCAGCACAACAGAACCCGTCTGCACAGCTGGGTTCAACAAGAAGCAGCCAAATCTGTGTGTCTTTATAGTTTGAGGGAACTGAACTATTTGAACTAAAAAAATAAAAACAAAACCACAAAAAAAAAAAAAAAGGACTCGTGTCTATATTCGGTCTAACTTCTCGCTCAGGAACTCCTCCACGCTGTCTGTGTTCCACTTGAGGATGCTGAGTTCTTCAGCGATGTTCCCGTTGTCGTCCAACAGCTTCAGCACAGGATCGGAGCCTCTGACGTACTGCAGCGGTGGAGAGGAGGACAGGAAGACAGTGTTAGGAATGGAAATCATCCAGAGACTCGTTTCTTCGATTTGATGTGATCTATCTTAGAAATCAGCAGATGAAGGCTGATGATGATCAGCGACACAATTCATCGTCCCTACCTTGATCTGAAGACCCTTGAACATCTTCGGCTTGTCGCTCCTGACAAAAGCTGTGGAAGGAAAAAAAAAAATAAGTGAGAAAAATGTCAGGTGATGAATCAGTCAATTAGGCTTCATATTTTAGCGCTGCGCTCTGTAATTACTGCCAACTGCAAAGCCTCCCGAGAATGCGGCGTTAACAGCAGCAGAGACAGTTGAACACGCAGGATGGGTGCAGCTGAAGTAAACAAACAGCAGCCATATGGCACAGACGGCGCTACAGACGCTCACCCCCCACACTGAGGCGAGCTCCCTCCGTCCACGTAACTCGACACTGCTGCATTAACTGCCGCTAGCAAGAGCCGGATGAAAAACAAAACTACTTCAAAAGCTTCTGTGGAAATCCTCCTGCAGGCGTTTCAGCCCACCCACTGCTAATAAATGATTTCTAAAAGATGCACTTCACCTGCACCGCCACTGATGAAGACACAGAAAGAGCAAAACAAGATAATACTCAGAACAGGGAACTCACCTTGGACTTGGGGGAACCTCCCCAATTTTCATCCGCACACCTCCAGGATGGCCCCGGCGTACAGCTGAGTGCAGAGAGACAGAAACAAGGTGAAGCGGTCCAGCAGGAGGCTTTCTGTCCACACATCAGAGGCTCTGCTGGTGGCAGGACGTCTGGTCTGCAGCAGTAATCTGATTCAGGCGGGCCGATTCATAAATGTGTCTGGGCGACTCCTTGGGGGTCATTAAACTGCGAGCCCGTGCATATGGAGCGGCGCTGATGGATGGCGGTTTGTGCAGCGCTCGCTTGTAATCAAACCTCCAGCACCAATACACAATAAGTTAGAGGAAATTGGAGTGTCGCAGCAGTATGTCAAGACCGCGCCGCGCTCGCCGTGTTCAGGGAGGAGGGTGGTAAACGGCCCGGCCGGCAAATTAAATTACACATGCAAAGCCGAGATGGTCTGCTCGGCCCGTCTGTGAACAATCCTGGCGCTGCTGAAATCAGATTTCCTGCTTTTAACGCACGTGGACGATCAGAACCGAGACGAGTCACGAGAACCGGAAACAAAAGATGAGACCTCTTCAGTTTGGCTCGTGTAGAGTCTCAACATTTGAAAACGGCATTAATTAGCTAATGAGTGGTTCCTCATTAGAAGCTTTACTTTCTCTACTTATGTCCAGCTACGTTCTTCTCGACAGGATTAAACACGAACGCTGCAGCTCTGGTGACAATCATCAGAACAGAAACAACATTAAAGGTTAACAAGACATAAGTCATGTGGCAAAATATAATCCGGCTCTGCCCTTTGGAGTCTAATGCAGATCTGTGATTTTTACAACGACTTTAACCCCATAAACTCCCAGAGGAGGCCCGCATCCAATCCCCTTCCTGTCTTTCACTTTACTGTCAATAAACCTGAACATATTTGTTATCCCGGGAGTCAGGAGGTCCTCGTTTGGAGCCTGGATTTTCTTTTATTTCTTTATCTATTTTGCACCGGAGCAGCTAAACCACACACTCTCCAAAATCAAAAAGCAGTTTCTCGTGTAGTCAGAATGGTTGACTTTAACTGGTTTGTGTGGGGGTGGACGATCAGGTAAACTGCCAAACGATGTCAGTTCATGTGATTCCTCCCTAAACTGGGAATATTGTAGCACTAAATCTTTAAAACGATCACATGCCTCCAAATATGTATCGCAGCGTTTTTGAAGATTAAAGGATAAAGGAGGAAATATTCTAGATTTTTCTCAACAAATCCCACAAAAAAACCACTTTCCGGTGTGCGAGCCTACAGCTTCCTCCTGACAAAAACCTCTCCAAACATGCCACAAACATGACGTTTTTAAAAGGGCTCGGTAGTTTTTTAAACCGCTCGGCTCTGTGGTTCTTAGCACTCGAACAGGAGGAGATGTAGCCGCTACCTTCAGCTGCACAGAGCAACAGAACGAGACCAAATCAATACAAACAACGGTAGGCAGGTAATGAGGGAACATGTCATCCGGCGCACCTCATTTGTGAGCTTTTAATAGATTTGGGGCAACACTGTGTATCGGTGACACACAGGAGTAAAGACACAGACACACACAGTATTCGTTAGTGGGATTGATTCATAGTTGATTTTCTTTTTGTCTTTTCCTGGCAAGAAGAAAACTACAGAACCACAAGGCTTCAAAGCCCTGAAACGGACACTCTGCATGTTATTGTCATTAACCGGCTCTCATGAGGGGTTTGCTTCTCCACGGAGACATCACGGCACCCAGGGGAGCTGAGGTGCTGCCGTGTGCCGGCACCCTGCGGAGATCTGAAAACGAGTAACCGAAATGCCCTCCGTGCTCGCCGGATCCCACTAATCGACGAGGCCATTTCTCAGAAGGTTTAATGATTCGGCACTGATGTCAATTGAGAGGCTAAAAAGAATTCTTAAGGCAGATAATTGTTGCTGTCTGAGGGGAGAATGTGCTCAGCGACGCTGCCGCTGCTGCCGGTACCCTCAGAGTGCAGCTGGAGACAGGCAATTGCTCTTCTAAGTGACATTTTCACTCAAACTGTGAGGAGGAAGAGGAGTAATCTTTGCTCTAAGTGTCTGTCTGAAACAGAGTTATCATCAAGAGGTGTAATGAGGTGTGCACTACACTCTTCCGAGGTGCTGTTGCTAGGCTACCGTTCACACGCACTCTGGGGGCTACGCTTAATCAAAGAAAAATGACATTGTTTTTCCGCCGTCACTTGAGTCGGTGTTTATCTGTCGGAGCACAGCGGGGCCTCCTCTCTGATTTGGCTGCTGAGCATACAGTAACACCTCCTCACTGGTTACAGGGAGAACGTGACCCCATGGGGGGTGTCACACCGGGGTTAAGGACCCTCGCCTCTGAACATCACAGAGAAGGATGGAGACAGACAGCTCCTGACAGAGCTCCTGTGTGGCGGCTCAGACCTGGTGCACAGCTGCAACCAGCGTCAACAGGAAGGTTACAACTGGGCCGTTTTTATTAGCAGTCCAAACGCTGACGGCTGTGACCCTGTCAAGAGAAGTGACATGTTCTGACAGAGAGGTCCTCTAAGTGCTGCCGCTATCCGCCGAGGAGCCTGTCCTGCATAAAAGTCAGTAAATGACTAACGACAGCATACATTCAGCTCAAGACCTATAATAAACTATTTATTGTGCATCACCAGAGCTGTCGAGTCTCAGTCACACAGCAGAAAAAAAGACAGTTTTTACTGCATGCACTTGAGTTAACCTTGATTCTTGTCACACTATTCTCCCTGAATCTCCATTAATAAGGTCTTTTTATGATGTTCCACACTGTGATTTACTCTAGACTCTCCGTTTCCCCCTTTACCTTGCGTGCTTCCATCTGGGCCTCCTGCTGGCAGCACTGCCTGCAGTTGGGCTGGAGCTTGGTGAGGCTGAACTCCCCGAGCAGGTCACAGGAGCTGCACAGCAGGTTGCTGGAGAAGCCCAGCTCCCTGCAAGCCTCAGACGACAGCTCGGCACCGTACGCCGACAGCTGGAGAGAGGAAGGAGGAGATGAAGGAGATCAAGAGAAGAACAAAGAAAAGGCAAAGTTTTTATGAAGTGCTTACTTCAGATTTGCAGAAGTTTGGGAATAAAAACGCAGCCCACGATTATTGAAAATGGTCAAAATTAGGAAGTGATGATGTTGGAACATTGAGAAGCAGAGCTGAGCAATTTGTGCAAAATATTCTTTTGCAATTTTCCTGAGAGCTATTGCAGTTTTTTCTAAAGTTGTAACGCATTTAAAACATGACACTTTACCACACGAGACGTCCTTAAAGCAGCGACTGTCACGCAAGTAGGACGCCATGAATTTATAAAACCATTGACACAACAGTTTTGTCCCCGGGGTAAATGCCGCTGCATGACATACATCCTGAACTGCACCCTTTGCTATTTGCTAACTGCATTTTGCAATATCGATTTGAAATGGATTCATTTTTCAGCCCTACTGAGATGGTCTGGACCATCTCTTTCTTTTATTTTTTTAACTACAGTAAGACACACAACTCTACACAAATCCAAAGCCATAATTCAGTTGATGCTGACAAAAATAATAAAGAAAACTAAACTCACTTAACTTCCATTGATTTACCATTACTCAGTAATTCCAGAGAAAGTCTTTGATTTAATTGTCCCGTGGGAATGTGGGCAGACGTGCCGGCGATTAATGCGATATTTCTAGCTGAGGACAAAGTGTGTGGCTGCTTTTAAAATGTCCAAATGATTAGTTAGCTTTTCTCCTTGACAAGCAACCTCGCAGAGATGCTACAAGGAGAGACTGAACATGTTTTCAGGACTCGGGAAGCCGGCTTCTAATATTTCAGTGTCCGATTTAGATCTAAATTTAAGCAGCCACATCAAAGCTGTAACCAGATCCTCATTAGGTCATCCTAAAAACATAGCCGCCCTCGGAAAGTGGTGTCCAAACAAAATTTAGACAAATGTAATCCTGATCTATCACTTGTAGAGTGGACTACTGAAACACATTCCTGATGAGACCATCTGACATTTGCAACTCATTGAGAAATGCTGACAAACAGCGTTAAGACAGAACACATGATTCTGATTCTTAGATCCCTGCCCTGATAACGATTTCATATAGAATCGAATTGAAGGTTCTGTTTAGTATCTTCAAGTCTCTGAATGGCCCCAAACATTTGGATATGTTCTGGTGAAGCCTGGCAGGTCCCTCGGATCTTCAGGAACCGGTCAGTTGGTGATGATTTCAGACCAGACGTGGTGGAACGGTCCATTACGCTGCAGGAACCAACTCTGATTGAAAGATGGCCCAACCAAAGATGGTTTACAATTAATCCGTTTCACTGTATTAAGTCTGGTCCAAACTGCCTGAACTTTAATTAAATGTTTTCATACTTTGATTCAAGTTTAACACATTTCCTTGTAATCTTTACCCTTTACAAGTTTTTATCTCCTTTGTCCATACCACCATGAGCCAGCTGAGGTGGTATGGACATCTGATTTGGATGCATCCAGAGATGCTTCCTCTGGAGGTCTTCCGAACACGTCCATCTGGGAGGAGACCCCGGGGCAGACCCAGAACCCGCTGGAGGAGATCATATCTCTCGGCTGGCCTGGGAACGCCTCAGGATCACCCAGGAAGAGCTGGAAGCGTCGCCAGGGGGAGGGAATTCTGGAATGAGCTGCTCTGCCTGCTGCTTCCGTGACTCGACTCCGGATAAGCGGAAGAAAATGGATGGATGGAAGTTTTTATCTTGTTTGGCTTTAGTCTGTTTCTGCTGTTTTGGTCAATCAGTTTTAAATATTCTCCAAAATGTGTGTGTGTTTTCCCCCAAACTAGTCTCTACTGTTATGGCTTTATTTATATCAATTATTTTTTTCTGCTGTGTTTTGTATTTCACCTTTAAATTTAAAGCACTTTGAATAACCTCTGTTTATGATAAAGTTTTATATAAATAAATACCTTGCTATTCATTCAAAAGGACACAATCATGACACCCTGTATTGTGCACTATTATTCTCTTTGTCAATAACATTCCATTCTAGCTTTACCTGGAAAAGGATATTTTGAACCAACTTACAGGAAGTTAATTCTGATTTTACGTAAAAGAGCACAGAGGATTAAGTAAAGTCAGGACACAGGAAGTCTCGGTTTGACGTCGCCTTTCTCTAATAGCTCATTTAAAACAGACACAGCAGCGGGTCTACAGACAGTGAAGTAAAAGCAGTTAGCTGAGAACACCGCTTCCCGTATGAGCCACGTCATTTTGAAGCTCCGGGCTGCCCAGGATGCGGCTCACCAAACCGACCGTTCCCCGGCTGGCGGCCCGTCCGGCCCTCCCTGTTGCCTACAAGCTCGTCCGACAGCCGCCAACATCGGCATTTTCTATTAATAATAAACTCACCGTCTGTAGTAGCGAGAGAAGCCACAGGAGATACACCTCTCCCGACATTTTGCAGCCTGCTTTGTTAGCGAAACCACTCCCAGGACCCCTGTGTTATACGGAAGGGATGCCCCCTCTGCGCCTGACTATTAAACGGTTCGATTGGCGGTTTATTTCGTTAAGATTTTTCAAGCACATCGATATAATCGCGCGCACGTGGGCTGCGTGAGTGTTTATAAAATATTTGAAATCACGAAGAGGGCGTTTTGATTTTAATTTATGCTTCTTGCATTCCGGCATACGCGAAGGTCGCCTCGGAATTTCTTCCTCGCCGCTGCTGTTACCATGGTTATGCAAAGAAGTGCGCCCCCTGCCGTTCTAAGCCCGCGTCGGTTTGTGACAACGGTCCAATCCGGATCGAACAGACAGCGGCGGTGGACGAATAGAAACCCTTCACCGTGTGTTGGACTGTTATTGCACCCAATGGCCTGACTGGTAGTAGCGGCGTGTCCGCGGTGCGGCGGCGAACACACTGGACGGGACGGGACAAGCGCTACATGGGGGACGCAGGCGACAGAGGCTGGTAGCCCCGCTCTCCTTCTGCCCGGAACCACGGATCTGGACGCACCTCCGTCGCTTTGGGGTTTTTTTTGGGATTCACGACGCTCCTCTGCCGGGAATCGACTCCATGAAAGCCGAGTATGAACGCATCGCATTCGAGGTAAAGCGGAGGATCTGAACGCGGGGAGATAGATCCACACAGTGAGAGGGGAGGGAGGGAGAGAGGGCCATGCACACACACACACACACACACACACACGCTCTATCTTTGTGATCACCGTCGTCGCCTCCTTGTGTGTCTCCAGTGTCTCCTCCTCTGAGCATGGACTGACCAGATCCCTACTCTGGATGATTTGATGGGGCTGCTCAGAGTCATGATGCCGCCCAAGTTGCAGCTTCTGGCGCTGCTGGCGTTCGCAGTGGCCATGTTCTTCCTGGAGAACCAGATCCAGAAGCTGGAGGAGTCCCGGGGAAAGCTCGGTAAGTTGCGGCTTGCGCGTGAGGTCTCTCTCTCACCGGGGCTTCAGGGTAGATCCTGGGCATCCCCATTGTTGTGCATTTGGGTCAGAGAGAGCGCACAGGGCTTCAGACAATGTGGAGCACCTGAAGTTTGCATGAGGCTGAGATATTATTATTATATAAATCCACACAGATCTCATTCTGATGTGTGCATGCAGTCTGGAGAGGTGTTCGTCCTCAGCCTGGTGCCCTGACAGTGACACAGAGGGATCCACTGTGCTGTTCATACACCAGTGCTTGCAAATCACAGTTATTTTCATTATTGATTCCTCTGACAGTTGTTTTTTCTCGTGTGCTTGGAGAATTAGAAGTACTGGAAAGTGAGCATCACAGTCTCCAAAAAGTCTAAAGATGACAGCTGTCTTGGTTCGACACAACAGTGAAGCAGCCAGATCCTCCGAGAAGCTGGAGAGTGTTTCTGCTTTGGAGAAGAAGAAAGAAAATCAGTCCAATGAGGAATCGATTGTCAAAACAGCTGCTGATTAATTGTCTGTCAGTCGAGCAAATGATGAATCGACTGGAGGGAAAGCAGCAGCTAATTTTGAAATGCAAGACCCGGCGGTGGTCCTCGATCCGGATTATAAAACGGGAAGGAGGGGGGGCGGTCAGTCCTTACAGTCTTCCTGGCTTTTTAGTAATATTCTGCATTCATGCGGGCACCACCCTGCTGCAAATCCCCTCCTGCCCCGTCTCCAAACCAGACTCTCCCCTCTGATTGAAGCGCTGCGTTCAAATCTCATTGCTAGCTCCCATCAGGGGCTCAGTCCCAATAAAGATCTGGGACAGTGTGGGATTATCTCTCTGGTGCCTCCACTGTGGGGATTCTTTTTTTTTCTTTTAAGGAGCAGCGGAGTGGTGCAGACACTGGGAGAACCTCAGGGGTTCACACCACATCTTGTTCTTCTGTTTGATGGCAGTAGGAGGCAGATAGGACGACGTTACAGCAGGTTTAATTAATAACACAGGTGATGGCAGGAGTGAATCTCGTGGTCACAGGATTCACAGGTACACCTAATGGGACAGAGCAGTCATTAATATGATTGCTGGTACCGGGTTTGAAAGTGTGAAAATAGTCTCTTGACATACATTTTAAAGTTCCTGCGCTTCCACTCAGGTGTCATTCTGGCAGATGTGGGTGAAGATGGGTGGAACCTGCATAGATATGAAAAGACGCCTAATTGTCCAAAATAAGTGACCTGCATCAGTGAACCGTGTCTGTGTTCTCTGACAATTAGTGTCATTATTGATCAACACGTCGTCGTTTTCAGTCAGTTGTTCGGTCAGATACAGCATAAGGTCCAGGTGTGACGTCTGCAGGTGGCTCAGTGAAGTGTGGCTTTCACTTTGTGTTTGCTTTGAAACGAGCATGCTCCTTTACAGAATATGATTTAAAGGCCGGAGCTTCTCTGTAGCGCCGTCGTGCTTCATGTGTGATTGTATGTTTACAGGCGAGGCGCTTTCCTGTTTCTGTAAAAACTGCAGCTCCTGCAATCTGGATATTACCCATAATGCAATTTTGATAGTATTTCAATGAATTGTTCAGCCCTATGTTGCATATCTTTTCCAACCAGCAGTCCAAAAACCTAAAAACATCCAGTTTAAAGCTGCAGCGGTTAGTTGTTGATCATTTGAGGATTGATTGGCAGCTGTCCTGATGATCAGCTGTGGCTCAGCAGGTTGTCCTCTGATCGTAAGGTTGGTGGTTCGATCCCCTCCACAGTCCAAGTGCCCTTGAGCAAGACACTGAACCTGAAGCTCCTCCCAATGGCAGGCAGCACCTTGCATGGCAGCGCTGTCGCCACTGGTGTATGAATGTGTGTGTGAATGGGTGAATGAGAAACGAAAAGTCTTGTCAGGGCCGATTATTGATTATTAGTAGGGATGCACGATGTATCGGCGACCACCTCGGTATCGGCTGATATCAGTGTTTTTCCCATATACCGGTATCGGTCTGATGAACACATGTAGTCGATGATTGTCTGACATCAGCGCCTTCGTCTCTATGTTTGATATCGCTGCTATTTCACAGATGTTTTTACTTCAATAGTCCTGGACTTAAATATGTTTAAATATGTTTTACTTTTGTTACGTAATAAAGAACACCGTGTAGTATAATTTGGGCTTCTTCTGAATAGTTTTCTCACAGTGCTTACTTATGCTAGTTTTTCAGTGTTAACAAATATTGAATATCAACATCGGTGATATCAGTAATATCGGCAATATAGGAACTCTTATATGGGTATCGGCCTGAAATTTTAATATCGTGCATCACTAATTATTAGTAATCAAGGAGATGAAAACCTGACATTTGGATCTAATACACATCTGTAGTGAAAATGAAAACCCTGGTGTCAAAACTTAGAATAACACAAACTCCAACATTGGACCGCCTTTGGTTTCGTTTGAAGTTTTACTCGTGTTTAATTAAAAGAGAGCTTTTTAGCATTCATCCGTTAGCATTGATTAGCTATTCCTGGTGACATGAAACCAATCAGACGGCGCTGTGGGCCAGACTTTGCTGGAGACCACAGAGCGACTACAGATAGACGGAAGCAGCTGTCAGAGCCACGGTGGGGCATTTTTAAATTCGTTTAATTAGTCGGGAATCAGTTTTAGAATAATCCGAAAAATGTTGAATCTAAAACCCGACTGGAATCCACCCGACTGTGACGGCAAATACTCAACAGATTCATCAATAATGGTGGTTTCTGATTGACTACTCTATTTTTTTTTATTGATTTTTGCCAGATTTGCAGCCTTTAGTGATTCATTGATTACCAATTCATCGGCGGTTCATTTCCTATCAGCTGCTAACTACATTTCAGCAGCAGTTGAGGCCTTTGATCGCTGGTGTCCTGCCAGCTTTACACTGACCAGAGCTGGATCTCTGAGCTGATGTCTTGACGAGTGGACGGACTCGTGTTGCTGTTCGAGTTCCTCACATGTGAATATTTTCTGTTTGACTGTTGGAACAGAGAACGTCTGTCATGTCGTGGCTGTTTTGTTGTTGTTGTTTGGTTCTTTTCCGGCGTTGTGCGGGCCGAGAGGAATTTAATTTGTTACGGGAATAATCATTAGATGTTTAAAACTCGTGGCCCCGGAGCTTAAGGCTAATTGATTAATAGACAGGCTTTGGCAGACGATTCAAAGACGAGTCCGCGTTGGAGAGCTTCCAGAACCGACTGTGGGTAAAAACTGAATAATGAAGAGTCCGGGCTGGAGTTTTCACATGTTGGAACAATCAGGAGTCCTGCGGGGTTAGATGGCTATATTGGCCTGTGGCATGGTTTACTGCTGCCGTAAAGGGCTCAACTTTACACCCAGTGGGAATCCAAACTCCCACACTCACAGAAACAGAACCTGAGAGGCCTTTCCCCTGCCCGCCCACCACCACCACCACGAGAATCTGTTGACTTGGCAAAAAGTGCTGTGATGGATGAGCGGCCTGAGCAGACGTCTGTATGCCGGAGTTCTGAATTATGTGCTGCATAGTCAAATAGTTGTGACCGAGGCTTCCACAGGCGCGATGCTGACAGGCAGCCACGGGGCCGCTCGCCGCACCAGGTACGCCTTCTGCAGGTCCATCTGTGCAACAATAAAAGGCAGAGCGGCGACCGGAACAGGAACAGGTGGCGTCCAAACCTGAACCAAGATAACACGAATAACTCTTACGTGATAATTAGAGGGGCGGGCGGGGGGGAAGGAGGCTCCATGTGTCACCATCCTGTATCATGTTTTCACGTGATCACCGTTAACGTCTTGCGAGCTGGAATGGCCGGCGCCCTCCCCTCACAGCCGGGGATCCTATTTCCTGACACGCAGGTTGAATCATTTCCCCCATTAGACGCCTCCCGCAGGGCAGACAAGCTGTGATTTGCTTCCGAGCTAATCGTCTTCCCAAGGTTTCGCCGAGGAGCGTCCTGCATTACAAACACGCCGCGATGCAGCTGTGTGTCCTGCTGTGGGCCTAATCCATTATTCTGACAGTATTACTCTCCGGCTGCTCACCGGCGCTGCTGCCGACTGGGTCAGCGGTAAAACAGGCCGGGGAGGGAAGGAAGGACGGATAGATGGAAATAAAGTTTCCTTATTAAAGAGCCGACGGGATAAGGATCCAAGGCTCTTTTTCTGCCGGGGCTGCCATTAACTCTCCCTCAGTTCAGGCAATTTCAGGCGCTCACCTTGAAGAATTTCACGCTGCTTTACTCAGAAGCTTGAGAGTGACATTCCTGAGCAGTGTTTCATCGGCGGCTAACAGAAGACCAGCGCCTGAGTTTCACTCACCAGCGATTAGATCCTCTCTGGAAGTCGAGGAAATCTGATTCAGTTTGTTAAAAGTAAAAGCCGGATGATTTATTTCCCCCCAAATCTGAACTACAGGCCGTTACTTCCAACTATAATACTCATGATTGTTTTCACTGTCAGTTCATCTGTTGATTAGTTTCTCAATTAATAGAGCAGTTTGGGTTTTTTTGGTCTAGAAAATGGTAAAAGATGGACCACAACACAAAGATATTTAGTTTAATGTCATAGAGGAGTAAAGAAAGTGGAACAGTTTTACATTTAATAAACTGGATTCAGATCATTTTAGACTTATAGTTGCTCAAACTGAATAATCAATTATCAAAATAGTTGGAGATCGATTTATTAGTGAATTAAATGATCCTGAAGAAACGGTTTCTGCCTGTACGGCTGTGTATGTGCAGTGAAATGACAATAAACTTAATTTGATTTGATTAAAAATGATTTATAATGTAGTTTGAAATATTAGTTGTTTAATATACGTGTGATAATATTATAAATAATGCAGAGCCACTAACTATCTGGTTGAAACTCCAACATAGAAGCTACAAACAGTACGATGTAAAACAAAATAAATTTGTGTAAAAACTTTAATTACATTAAAAAAAAAACTAGAGTCCTGTAACACTCAAAAAACTTTTTTTTTTAAAAAACAAAAAATGGAAAAAATAGCCGCAAAAATCTGAAAAATAATATTTTTAGCTGGTTTAAATACAGTAACAATAAAATAAAATAAAATTTAAAAAAAGAAGTAATATTACAGTCAAATGATGTAAAAAAACAAATTACCGTTTAAAAAGAAAATACAGATGTTTGATGTGGACATTATTTATAGTTTTGGCCTGATTTTTTATTTTTTTTTTATCCAATTTTTTTTCTGCATTGGTATGAGATATTATCTGTAATTTAGCAAAACAGAAAAAATGGTGAAATAAAACTAAATTGTTCCAAAAGTTATCGTTAAAAACCTGGAAAACGTGTGGTTACACACTATGTTCTGTATTTTTAGTGAAAATCTTTCAAAAAAATCGACACAATAATTAAAGTTAACGATGAATTTGACTGATAGCATTTAAAAAAAAATCCGTCTAAATATCATAATATCATTGTCGGTGTGAATTCTTTTGGCCATTTTCTTGTATTGTGAGTCTGAACCGGAGCGATTTTCTGCTTCTTTTTAAGAAACCCGTTGGAGAGAACGTAAACACATTTAATATAACCTGTCTCCAGATTAATTGGTGTTTGCCCGTAACGTGAGCAGGGCATCATGTAGACACCTTTATTGATATGTGAGGACTAATGTGGCGCCGCTTGTTTTCCGTGTGCAATAAAGCCGAGACTGTAGGATGTAATTCAGCGCATCCTGCCTGAGGGTGAACTCGGCACGGAGCTTGATAAAGCCTCAGATTGTATGGATTTGTTAGAAGTATTTAGTTAAATGCATACCAGTGCCAATCACCTTCACTTTCAATGCCACTTTCTTCTTTTTTCCCCCCACATCTCTTCTGGCTGAAAGCATGTTCATTACACAGCTGAGTGCACCATTATTTGTGTAACATCTGTCCTTGCTACCTGCTTTTATAGACTGAAGCCACATTAGAGTTTATTTCCTCGGGGAGAATATTCAGAATATGGAGTGTTTCCGTTGGAGGGAGCTTCTCTGCTCTTTTTGATGCCAACCTGAAGCTATAGGTGGCAGCTTTATTCTGGTGGGGGGGATGATGGTATACTGAGAGCTGCATAAATAGAAGCGTCGCTTATAAAACTGTCACCTCGTGCCCTTGTAACTGGAGAAAAAAAACACGACCTCTTCGCCTCTTTGCCCTGCAGGCCGTGAGAGGCCTGCGTGTCCTCCCAGCGCCAGACACTCGGAGACGCTTTTATTTTATTTTTTTTCATCCCTCAGCATCATCGCCTTTTATCTGCTGGCCGTTATTCAGCCTGATTAAAGGAATTCAATTTCCATCTGTTGCATGGTGATATTTAGTTCCAGACACAAGCGGCTCTGTGATGAGCTCTGAGAGAGAAGAGAGAGGCTGTTGAATGCAGACGAAGGCAGGCGGAGGGGGGGGGATGCATGGCGCTCATTGTCAAAGTGTTTGCAAAGCTGACGCAAGATTTTTAAGCATTCATTTGTCGCCGCAGGCCTGCCGCTGCCGGGCCGCCGTTTGAATTTGACTTTGATTGTCATGCCAAGCACTCGCGGCCCACCCTGGCGCTGCGCTGCCGAGGGACCTGGGGACCTGGGCAGGAATTCGCTCTTGAAAGGACGGCGATCAGGCATCGTCTGTCCGTCCTCATGCGCCCGCTGCATGGACACGTCCCGACTTCAGGGCTGACCTGCTGCTGCTGCACAAATCTGACTTTACTGACGAGCCAGGCTTCCACTGCGTTTCCTTTTCACTCCCACGCATCTGTCAGGAGTCAACCGGTGCCTGTGACTCCAAACGGTGGCTTTCCTTTTTGAAGCTAATTGGTGACACGTTGGCAGCACTCGTGCCTCGTCTCTTTACTCCAGCTGCACGCCTTCACCTCCAGAATGTGCAGAGCTGCAGCTTTTCTTCCTCCTTTCCTCGTCCTTCTCTCTTGACACAGCACTCAGGTTCCCTTTGAACTCTCCCTGACACCTCACGTCTCCTGTTTTTAGCTTCCCTAAGGGGTATAAAGGCAGCACGAGTCATTTGCTTTCACTCTGCACCTTGGCATCTGCCAGCAGCAGCAGCAGCAGCAGCAGTGGCGTCTATCGCCTGGACCCGTCTGCTGTGTCGCTCTCTGAAGCAGCTAATGGAGGGGAGCCCGCTGCGGAGATGGGCGTAGGTGTCGGGGATGGATTTGTTGTGGGAGGTTGGGAGGCAGAGCGCTAATGGTCCTACTGGGCTTTTGCTATATTGTTGGAAGCAGCCTTTGATTGGGGCCGAGGATTTACGGCCCCCGGCGCGCACTTCGTCCGACGGGGGGGGATGTGTTGCTGCAAAGTGGCGCGCACAGCAAGCAACCGGAGCCGGCTGCTGCTGCCGTAGCAGGATGACAGACAGGCTAATCGGGGTGTTATGGACGGTTTCACACCCTGGATGTAATTGGAGGCTGTTCTAGAAGAGCAAAGCCCGATCCGATGCCACCCATCACTCCCCTCAGCTGGCCTCCTCCCCCCCTCCAACCCGTAACTACCTCGTCACGCAGACCAACCCCTTCCCGCTCGGCGTCTGCCCTCCGCTGATGGGCAAAGCTGTCAGCTCACTCAACACGACGAAATGGACTTCAAATATCATGTGGCAGTAAAAGGCCGCAGGCTGCGGGTATCGACTGAACTCCTGAGGACAGGCGGCACTCCGACTGACAGCTGATGTGATTATCATTCACCTGACACGATGATTCAGACGCATGCATTCATCGTAAAATCAGTCTTTCTTTTAATCCATCCATCCATCATCTCTACACCTTAGTCCTCACTAGGGTCGAAGGCAGGTTCACCTGGACAGGTAACCAGTCTATCACAGGATAGAATCACCAATTAACCTCAGCATGTTTGTGGACTGTGGGAGGAAGCCGGAGAACCCGGAGAGAACCCACGCTGCACGGGGAGAACATGGAGACTCCACGCAGAATGTGAACCGGCGACCTTCTAGCTGTGAGGCCACGGTGCTAACCACCGAGCCACCGTGCAGCCCTGATGATTCAAATGCATTAATTCTAAAATCCTCCTCACTTGCATGCTTTTCAGTCTTTGTTTTAATGATGATCAGATTTAGACTCCAGTCCGACTGAGTGCTCGTGGGGGGCTCTTTGTTGTTGTTGTTGTTGTTGTTGTTGTTGTTTTCTGACAGGTGAAAGAGGCTGCGGTTGTAAACGCGTGACAGCAGGTGTCAACTTCCTCACCACTCCTCTGCGGAGTTAGCAGCGTTTTCTTTCCTCCCACTCCTCTTGTGACAGCACAAACGATACGCGGCTAATAAACCTCCGTCAAGATAATAACTCCTAATGACGGCGCTCTCATCCCGGATCAATACTTGTAAACAACTTCTTTATTTGCTCGCCGAGCCCCGCTGTTGTGATATTCAGATCCTCCTTGTGTTTTTACTGAACCCCCTCCTCTCCGTTGGACGGGCGCCTGAAAAAGGAAGAAAAAAATAAAAATCTGCCACTGGCATCGGAAGTGAGTTGCTATCAGAGGAGGAGGAGGAATGAAAGAGATGATTTAATTTTCATTGTGACACAGAAATATTTAAAGCTGGTGAAAATCATAAGCTTCTACGAGAAGAGGGAGAGAAAAAAAAGAAGAAAGGAAGCCTGCAGCATTTTTACAACCAGTTTCATCAGAGCAGGCAGGAAGGGATGAAGGAGGAAGGAGGATGTTCTTCTTCCTCCTCCTCCTCAGCCCCTGGTTCAACTTTGCTCCTAATAGTTGCAGATCCGGGCTTAAAGCTGCCTTCATCTTGTTTACCTGCAACATGTCCAGGAGCAGGCGTCCCCGGGGATGAACTGTTAATGCGGAGCTACGACAGGCCTTCTCCTCGTGTGACTCCTCCGCCTCCTTCATCCCTCCTCGTCTTTGTTCCTTCTCCTCGGCGTGCTGGATGGAGGGAGCAGCAGGGCCTGACTCTCAGCTTCAAGTTTATTAGACAGAATACAAATAAGTACATGGCAGACAGCTGTGTGTGTGTGTGTGCGTGCGCACGTGCATGCGTGTGTGTGCAGCACCTTATTAATGAACCATCCGGAGCTGCTGCTGAATATTCACGCCGTCCCCCTGCTGAGCGAGGATCCACACGTTTGTCTGTTTTCCATCGACTCCCGCTCAGTCCGTGATGCCGCCCACCTGATTGATTGATCAAGCTCTTTTTTTTTTTCTCCTCCTTCAGCCCCTCCTGCCCTGCCTCCGACCGATATTAATGCACTCGGCCGACGCACTGGCTTAGATCGCTGCCGACCTTATTAAACGGCACGGGTTGCAGCTTGATTGATCGATAATAAATCTCGTTTTATAAACTCCCAGAATAACACAATTAGCGACGTCTCCACTCATTCCGGTTGTCTTTTTATGATAAGTGTCTCGTCACGGCTCGTTTGTTCAGTTTGGTGATTAAGTGCTATTTGCATACATTTATATTAACCTCACAAACAACACACGATGCAGCCGGTGTTTGGAGTGTGGCCTAAATAAAGACAAATAGTTGAGCAACCCCTGAAAAATCCAGTTTAATGAGGGA